GGGGGGGGGGGGGGGGGGGGGAGGGAGAGAAGGAACCGGTAATTGATTTTGAAACGCTTTTGCTTGATGTCACTGGGATGGCGTGCATGAGACCGTCGGTGGGGCTTACCGGTCGTGCCATGTGTTTTTCGGTCGAGGGCAATTGTGTTTTTGCATTTTCTTGATAAAAAATTTGTTATCAGCGCGATGAGCGCAGCCAAAAGCATTCACTTTCGAAGTTCGTCCGAACTCTGCCCGCCTTTGTCGTGTGTTATTTGTGCTTGTCATTAAGATCACTTGCTCCAGACATATTCTCGTGCATATTAATAGCCTTTTTTTCTTGTCACAAATACCGGTTAAATGAGAAATCAGCCTGAGATTCAGCTGGCAAAAATTCCAGTAGTAGTTGTTCAGTCTGGGTACAGTTTGCATGCGCCAGTCATACTGACGAGGTCCAGTCGCAGTGTTAAGAAGTATATGACTTAATGGACCGAAACGTCTTATCTCGCTCTCACCTTCTCGCTTAATGGACTGGATGCTGCAATCTGCTTAAGCCTTTGTATAGCTTTTGTAGATTTTCCTAGCATATATGACAGGTCCATCTGCAATTTGAAGTTAACTAAAACTGACGTGTTAATTCGTGTTTTTTTGGCACAGTGTGAAGTCGGAACTTCCTCTTGTTCGGTCTCTTTGAGAGGCAGAGGCACTTGAAAGTAGCCCGGATGATAGCAAATACTTACAGTAACCGCCGATGGCAAGGCTCTCGACAGTCTCCCCTTTCGAGGGTTGCTTACCGGCAGGCTAATGGCATATGCCAGTACCATTTTACCATTGAAACGAAGGGATGAGTCGCAAGTGGACTGACTGTTTGCGGAGTGAAATCTTCACTTGATAACAGCGCTATTTCGATTTTGCCCTGCATACCTTATTATTGCAATGTATTTGTTTTGTGAAGTGGCATCAGTGTTTTTCGGTAACTTGAAGGGAGAGAATAAGGCCCCTACGGCCCGTACTGGTCTTCCTATTTTGCCCCTGGCTGTATTGGCCGATGTTTATAGTCCTCTAGACGGGCTGTTTA